CAAATCTGTAGGATCATCATGTTACTGATGGAGGGTGTCCAGGTTCTTGGCGTCTTGAATAAAGAATTGGACAAAATACATAAACAAAGCAAGGAAAGAATGAAGCAACAAAAGCAGAGATATATTGAAAATGAAAATGAAAGTATGCACCACAGGGTGGGGGCGGGCCTGAGCGTGGGGGCTCAAGAGCCCCATTACAGAATTTTCTAGAGGTTTCCACTGGTCACTTCGTGTACACCCTATGTAAATGAAGAGGATGAAGTAAAGTTACAGAGTCATTTACTTGGTGTATGCCCTCTGTAAATGGAAAGGATATTTCCTGTCATAGCTGAAGTGTTTCCAATTGATTTAGTTCTAGGAAGTCAGCATGAATCGGCCTTATGTTTTCTTCTTCCAGGCCCTATTCTCCTGCCTCCATCGTACATGAAAGGGAGAGGCTTAGTCATCCTAGCTGAAGAGGAATGAATTAAGATCAGCAGGTAGAATTCAGCTTGATAAAGGAGGACCTTCCTAGCAATTAGGGCTGAAAATAGCGCAAGAGGCTGCTTCGTGAGGGAGTGAGCTCTTAGTCTCCGGAGGGCTCCCATGAATTTACATCAGGGATATCTGAGAATAGATTATTGAAAGGAGATGAAAGGTAGTCCAGGTGATCGAAGGATTTATTTTATGACCATGTCTGAGGAGTAAGAAATGACTGAGATGAGGGTGACCAGAAGGCCCTACAGGGCAGCGGACATCTGTGCTGGTCTCAGAGGAATCGAAAGAAAACTGCAGGAGGACTCGGGGGTGAGGAGGCAGAGATGTTTAGGGCAGGTAGTAGCTTCCTAGGGCTGGTATAACCAGGTGCCCCAAACTGGTGGCTGAGAATAACTTATCCTGCCACAGTTCTGGAGGCCAGAAGCCGAGAGCAAAGTGTTGACAGGGCTGGTTCCTTCTGGGGCTGTCAGGGAGAGTCTGCTCCAGGCCTCTCTCAGAGCTGTAGGTGGTTTGATGTCAGCCTTTGACATCCCTCGGCTTCTAAGTGCATCACCACAGCCTCTGCCTTCACTCACCTGGCGTTCCCCCCGTGTGTGTCCGTATTCAAATCTCCCTATCAGATGTGGAGTCACCTAATGACTTTACTTGAACTCAAAATCCTTAGTAAAAACCCCATCTCCAAGCAAGGTCACACTCTCAAGCACTGGGGGTGAGGACTCCAACATAGCTTTTCTTTGGTTGGGGGAGCACAATTCAGCCCATAATAGGGCAGGATTAGTAGACCAATTTGGACAGAGCAGAATGCTTGAGTAGTTTAATAAGGGAAGTAAGGTTGGAAAGAGCATTTCAGGCTCCACTCCTGGAGTCTGTCCATCCCTGTAACTAAGGTGTTGCAGACGAATCAGCTGGTTTTCCATACACAGGAGGTATAGAAGTAACCACAGGAAGGGATCAAAGCGCCCTCTGTGAGGATAAAGCCCCCATAGACTGGATCAGCCTGAATTTCTGTTTCAAAGGTCAGAAGTCCTACTCAAATTAGGTTAAGAAAAATGTAAAGAAATTCAGGCTCACATAAGCGAAAATTCCAGGGGCAGGTCTGACTTTGGCTTCAGGCAAGAATAGATCTAACATTTCAGGGCCTTCGTGTGGAGGTCGGGGCTCCCCCTGTCACTAACTTGCAGACTGGCAGGTTGGCCACAAACACCTCCCACTCACATCCTACCCTCCGAGGGCTCCAGCAGAAGAGACTGTGCTCCTGCAAGCTCTGTGAGAAAACTCATCTGATTGGTCTGGCTTGGGTCCTGGGATCATCTCTGAGCCAGTGCCCAGCTGAAGGAAGGAAGTGTGTTCCTGAGTCGCAGGCTCACACTTGCATATCTGAAGCACCTGGAATAGATTCCCCACATGAGTGTTACTGGAAAGGGGTCCCAATTCAGACCCCAAGAGAGGGTTCCTGGGCCTCAGGCAAGAAAGAATTCGAGATGAATCCATAGAGTAAAGTGAAAGCAAGTTTATTAAGAAAGTAAAGAAAAAAAGAATGGCTACTTCATAGGCAGAACAGCGGCATGGGCCACTCAGCTGCTTCTATTTATTATTACTTCTTGATTACACGCTAAACAAGGGGTGGGTTATTAATGAGTTTTCTGGGAAAGAGGGAGCAATTCCTGGAACTGAGGGTCCATCCATTTTTAGACCATATAGGGTAACTTCCTGATCTTGCCATAGCATCTGTAAACTGTCATGGAGCTGCTGGGAGTGCCTTTAGCATGCTAATACATTATAATTAGCGTATAATGAGCACTGAGGACCACCAGAGGTCACTCTTGTTGCCATCTTGGTTTTGATGGGTTTTCCCGACTTCTTTACTGCAACCGGTTTTATATAAGCGGGGTCTTTATGACCTGTTCCTTGTGCCAGCCTCCTATCTCATCCTGTGACTTAGAGTGCCTAACTTACTGGGAATGCAGCCCAGCAGGTCTCAGCCTCATTTTCCGCAGCTCCTATTCAAGATGGAGTCGCTCTGGTTCAAACAACTCTGACAGGAGGAAGGGCTTCTCCTGTCCACAGAAGGAAGCGGGCGATAGCTGGCTTAGATGACTCACTGGCTCTGTCTATCGACTCTGGGCTCGATCCTCACTCATCGCTTACCTAAGTGCTGGGCTCCTAATAGGGAGGGTCTCAATAAAACTTTGCCCAATCAGAACAAATGGACAAGTAAGGGAGTATTTGTTCAAAATGTGGGTGACTGGAAGTTGTGAAGTTCTGAGACAGTTCAGGAAAAGGTACCCAATACCTTTCAGAAGCCGGATTAGCCTTGAGGAAGGAAGAATGTTGCCAAACACAGAGCTCTTTTGTATTTAGGGCTCTCAGTTTTTCTTCAATCCTTTTTGAGAACCTTGAAGGCATAATTTGTGTTTCAAAACAAAAGGGACTTTAAAGTCCTTTGAAAAGACGCCTCCCCCACCCCCCACCGACGTTTCGGGCGTGTTGAATAGCTCTTAGATAACAGCCTGCTAGTAAGTTAGGTGTAAATGAATGCAAAATACGTGTTTTACCTTGCTTTGAAACTGGCAGGTTTGGAAATCAAGGGGAAGGCAGCTTGCCCAAGGCGTGGTCAGCCTCCACTCCCAAAAGGAAAGGGCTTGAGAAATAAATCACTGAGGCATCTGGCTAAGCCTGAATGGCTTTGCTTTCTTGTTTGGACAAAATGCCAGTTGTACTCCCACGTTATTTCCCTTCCCATAACAGTTATTTGTTTGTAATCGCATGACTGGAAAACCATTTGTGAATATTAAAGCTGTATTTTCAGTGCTTGAGTCTATATGTGATTTTTAACTTATTGCAAGTGGCCTCTGTTCTCAAGGGTGAAGCCAGTCTTTAAGTGAACCTTGATCAGTTTGGGTATGGTGCTCGTGACCTGTGGCTGTGGGGATGCAGGCACAGGGCTGGCTCAGTTGATGGCAGATGTATGTAACACGTGCTGAGTATTCTCAAACTGTGAATGTCTACAGAGCCAGCTGGGATCCTGTTGCAGTGTGGTTTCTAATTCAGTAGATCAGGGCTGGATCTAGCGAAGAGCCAATGCTACTGGTCTGTGGACCACAGTTGTTGGCACAGATCTGGCCTCGCTGCTCCACGTACCACAGAGTGCTCATCCGCCCACTGCCCTCACTGCCTCTAGAGTGGCCCCGGGAGCCACTGGGTTAAACAGACAGCTGCATGGTTCCCACATTGCTCACACGGTTTCTAGGGCTGCGGGTTCTCTGCATTGGAGGGAGCGCTGAACAGAGCAGGAAATGCACCACATTTCCAGTGTCATCTTCCTGACGGAGATGTCACTAGGCTGGCTGGGGGACCTCAAGGCAGATGGAGTGGTCCGTTCACGGCTGCCCTCCTTCTTGCTCTTGCTCCTCCCTGTCCTATCCTCTCTTCTCTGTGTTCTTGGGTTTTGTAATTATATAAACCATACACACTTATAGGAATGCAGAGAGGGAGTCAATTTATATGGAAGGGAATCAAGTGAAGAGCAGACATGGCCTCCCTGACCCCCGAATCCCAGTCCCCAAAGGTCAGCTCTGTTAACACATTCTGATTATATCCGCTAGGGTGCTTCAGCTCCCACAGCAGAAACCCCAGTTCCCACTGGCTTAGCTGCAAAGGGGGGTCTTTATCTTGTCCAAAGTTGGGCTCTGGGGTTGGTTGATTTAGTTGTTCTTAGTGTTACTGGAGTTCTCTGACTTCTACTGTGGGTCATCTACACCACAGAAGTCATCCTGAGGCTAGTTCTTCTTGAGGTCAGATGGCCATAGTAGCAAGTGGGCAGCGTGCTTCTGCATTCTTACTGCTGGGGAGAGATTGTTACTCAATCCTCCTCTGTGTCAATCAAGTCCTTCCCTTCAATCTGGATCAATGACAGTGGCCAGTAGATGCTGTGTTCTGACTGGCCAGTCATGTTGGAGCCCTGGAGCTGGGGACTTGAGATCTTCCTAGAAGTGGGAAAAGGGGATTCCCAAACATAGGGCTTTTTTAGGAAGGAAGGAAGGGGAATGAATACTGGGTAAGGGGCTTATAGGGTCCACATCTTTCCAGAAGTCTCCATGCATATGTGTGGAGTCTTGATATTCATTCATTTATTTATGTAGTGCTGACAGCTTGCTGGGTGCATAGATTTGTCCCATCTATGCTAACAATAAACCATTGAGAGAGGTACCATTCTTTTTCTTGTTCGTGGGTAAAAAACCAAGTCAAACACTGTGCAAGTAACTTGCCCACTTACATACTCATACGGCATGTAAGTAGAAGAGCGGCGATTTGAACCCAAGTATTCTGGCTCCACACTCTTAACCACTGGGTAATTCGGACTCCTAAGTTGCTTCCTGTAGTTTGGTTTTCTCATCTCTGAACCAACCTTAGAAGCTAGAGATTGGACTGCACTGTCCCTGCAGTCCCCATGTGTCTCTAACAGAGATGCCATGGGAGATAGAAGGATGGGAGTGAATTCAAAATCATGTTTCTGTCCCTAGATCCTAATAACTATTATCACCGCCGGAACGAGATGACCACTACTGATGACTTGGATTTTAAACACCACAACTATAAGGAAATGCGCCAGGTAAGACCCAGATCACAAAGCCTCATGCCAGGAATTCGTCAGAAAAAGCAACATATTATGTGTCCATAAGCGCTTACATTTTTTTTTCCAGAAGTTGATGATTAGGGATCTGAATGATCATTTGATATGCTGAAGACACATTAAATGCTTGTCGTTTCAAGATTCGGGTTTCGGTTGCCCGGGGGAGGGTTTCTTGGTTGGCGGTTTTTTGAACCCCATTTGAATCCAGGTTCTTCTCAGTTAATTACTCTAGATCTTAAGAATTATTGTGATTTTGAGTGCTATTTAAGGATGTTGGTCAGATGCAGAGTGGAAGAAGAAAAAGGATCTAGGATAACACGATAATAATAGCAGAAAATATTCACATAGGACCAACTTATGTACATGACTGTGTTCGTTCCTAATAACTCTAGAAGGGTAGGGACTGTTGTTATTGTTATTTGCAGATGGGAAAACAGCACTGAGAGACTATAGCACTACCCCTTATTATTCAGATTCTCAGAGTTTCAATCTTGGTTGCACATTGGAATCACCTGGGGAAATTTGTAAAGCTAGTGATAATTGAGCCCCATCTCAGGCCAGTTAAAGTAGAATCCTTAGGGGACAGGAGCCTGGGGATCCAGATTTTTAAATCCTCTTTTTGTGATTCTGCTGTCCAGCCAGGTTTCAGAACTACTGGTTGATAGCTTCATATCTCTTAGTATTGTTAGAAAGAAAAGACAATCCCAGATGAGATTTTTCCCCAGATTTAATTATAGAAACCCAGTAGTTCTGAGCTTTTGACAGCATTTGCATACTGAGTGCAGAAGGGGGAAGGGACAGGGTGTTTATTAGGACAAGCTAAAAAGGCAGTACCTACGCTAAGTGCGGTGCCTATGAAATCCTGTTCTGCGCCCACCCCCAGCAGGTGCTAGAAAGCATGGGGAGGAGCTGGCAAAAGAGAAATCCTTAGAGAGCTAAGAATCTGAAGAGACAGAACATGCAGAAATGTCCTTCTGAATACATTTACAGAACAAGGATCCACCAAGGGCAAATTAACATGGCTCAAAGGGAGGGCTTGTAGGTGCCAAGGGAGGGGAGCAGCCATCCAGTACAAATGTGGAAGATGTTTCTGAGGTCAGAGTAATTAAGTGGAGCTCCAATCCCATGGAATGAACAAGCCTGGTTTGTCTTGATGTAATCTAACTTGAGATACTCACACAGCTTCCAGACACCTGTCAGCACAGACTTAGAGGTGGGATGTGCTAAGAAATTTTCTTGCTGTCTTGCTCTTCAGAAATCAAGATAATGTGTTTGGACTTGAGGGCTGTGAATCATCCCTGCTGCTCTACATTTTTGGGGTATTTATATGGCTCTGCTCGCCATTCCATTTTATGGAGCACTGATGTGTTAACTCCGCTTTGCTCACTGGACGTCTCAGCACAGCTTCTTGAGCTCAGAAATGAGACAGATATCAACTCAGTGCAATTAATGTCAAAAGCAATAAATCTAAATGCATTTAAAATGAGTGACTTGCACAGAGACTTTAGGTAGCTGTTATCTGTAAATAGTTGTCTTGCGTGGAGACTTGGGGCTCTTTTCTCACAAGGAGAGCAAGCGGAGTATGCTTCATTACCCTAGGCAACTCTGATCACTACTGGAGCCAAGAGGGACCTTTGGAAAATCAGTGCAGCCCCCTCAGGTGGCACTGGAAGACCCCTGTGAGATCCCACAGCTCAGCAGTTATCAACTAGAGACTGTCCGGGAGAGCACCTATCAATCCTGAAGAGTCTTCAAGCCAGAAATGATTTGCCATTTGGATTCCTGGCTCCTGGGGATGGGAAAGAAGTCAACGTTTTGAGCAATTTCCCCATATGGAGTCTGCTAGGTTGCTGCAGAAATCTTTCTCCCTCGGGAAAAACTTGTTCATTTTTCCTACTATTGAAAGAGACATTTACAACAAACCAAAAAAATGAGAAACAGAAGCAGGAAGCAAGAAGTGAAAATAGAAAACCTTATTGCATTGTACGAGGAAGATAATGAGGGGACATGTGACTCTTTTATGCAGACAGCACTGACTTGCAAGGCACAGTTCCAGGCAGAGGGGAGCTGCAGGTGGTTGGGTGGAGAAAGGAGGAGGAGAGGAAGGAGAAAGTCCTGACATTGACACTATAAGGCGGAGAAAGGGAATTGTTCCAAGAAAATACGGAGGACCTTCATAGCATATGTTGCAATTTATTCTTGCTTAGTTGCTGGTTTACGTGTACATTGCCTGTCTCCCTCACTTGGGGCAATGAGGGAAGAGACCCTGTCATTTTACCATCCATAGTGTGCACTTGATCAAGGTGTGTATTTGAGGTCCTTACAGTCATCGGGGATGGGAGAGAGAAGGGAGCCATCTGCTTGGCCTTGGTTTGGGAGGCTTTGGTTGCAGAGGGGGTCAGCTGTCATCCAACGTGAGTGGCTGGCACTGCCAGGCAGGGGTGGAGGGAGGGTGCTCTGAGTAGAGAGGACAGCAAGAGTGAAGGCATGAGGTCAGAGCCGACAGGTGTGTTCTGTGACAATTTGCAGGTAGCTGGGAGGAGGCTGGTCCTGAGTGCCAGGAGAGGTTTTTATCCTGACGTGGAGGTCTGTGGAGGTTCTTTAGGTGCACAGAGCTGTCTTTCTGGAAGTTGTATGGAGGGCTGGCCCCTGGGCCTGAAGAAGGTTGAGAAGAGAGGCATTTCTGAGGCAGGCTGCCCAGTGGAGGTCACCTATTGGAGTGAGTTGGGGAGAGAGAGGGGCCTGGTGTGCTTCTGTGGAGAAAAGGAAGAAGTGATTTTGAGGACAAGGTTAATGACCTTCTTTGGTTTGGTCACAGTGTTGTCAGGTCCCAAACGCCCAGGAAGTACTGGCTGACGGCCCATATGTAGACAATGTGATGTGGATAGAAAAAAGTAACATAGGCAGACATGGGCTGGAAGGCAGCCATCTAATGACATTGATTTCCAGGGCACCTAAGGATGGCTTGGGGACATCAGGCTGTGGGGACCATGGCTGACCCACCCACTTGTACCACGCTCAACCTGACCCTGTGGGGACAGGAAGCCAGGGCAGAGCAGCAAGCCTGCACATTCAGATACACTCAACTCCTTTCCTTCGCTCTTCCCTTCTTCTGGAATTTCTTTTCCATTGGGCAAGGTGCGGTGCCTGTTTCTCAGGCAAATGAGGAAAGATGGCAGAAGAGAACTTTCCTCTTCCCTACTCTCCTCTTTAAAAAACAAACAAACAAACAAACAAACAAACCAAAACAAAACTTGCATTCACTGGATAAACAACATTGTGTCAGCATCAAATGCAAACCAAAAGCCTAAAGACAAATCCTCCACGAACCCACTACTCTAAAAAAAAGGCAGTTTTCATTTTCTCCCCATTTCCATGTGGTGTTTGAACTTCTGTATTCACAGAATTCCTACGGTTTTGATGAGAGGATAGTTACATCTTGGCCCTGTGTTTCTCAGCGAATATTGGATCATTAGCCATTTTCCATGCTGTCTTCATAATTGTGATAGTGAGGTTGCAGAATGTTCTGGTGAGTGGATGCATCATACTTTTCTCAGCTTCTTTCCTGCTGTGGAACATTTGGATATCTCCCAATTCATAACTTTTCATGAATACACAGACAAAGTATGAAACATGCCACAACAAGTGTCAGTGTGCATAACATTTTACCATCTTTATGAAAAATTTCCCTCTGATATTTTGCCAGAAATTGAGGCTCTTGATTCTCTCTCCTTCAGTAGAGAGTGAAGCAGCAGAACCTGGGATTCAGTAGACACCAGGATGCAAAGTTTATTTCTATCTCAGAGTTGGGGAAACAGAGTCTTGAAGAGACTAAGAGTCTTGCAAACCCTGGTACTTTCTAAGATGATGTTTCTCAACATTCTTTTTCATTACTACCCACCTAGGGAAAGTTTTTAGACTTCTTTTCTTTTCTTAATTATCCTCCCCTCATTATATTAAATATTAAGAAATAGGATTTTGCTAGATAGGGTTGAGCTTTGGGGGAACACAAAGCATCGTAATACTTAAGGCTTTTTTAGCCACAATTTTCAGCCCCTTGGGGTGATGTCATCCCTTTTGGGAATACATGCTCTAAGGTCATGGTGAAAATTCTATTCCTTACTCTGACTGAAATCATCAAGACCCAAACATTTACCACAAAGACTCAAACTCCAAAAAACCATCTTTGACCCCTCTCAAGAATAATTGTATTCCCTTACAAGAATTAATTGTGTTTAAACGGGAAACATCATTCCTGGGGATGTTCACGGTTGCCTTGCTGAGAAGAGCAGAGTGGACCACCACCCAGGTCTTTGATGGTGCTGGTAGCCACTGGAGAGATGCTTCCTGGCATTGCAGAGGGCCACTGTGCAGAGAGAATTGTAGAGAAACTTCACTGAGAAGAAGATTTTTCAAAGGCCCATGGTCTCATGTGGGAAAGATGCTTATGATACCATGGCACAGTGGCATGCACTTTGTTAACCAATACTGTGCCTTTGGTGGGAAAGTGTGGCTGCTATGAAAGTACAGTGATAGTGGGTAGAATATAAGGAGGTGATGCTGATGACTCATGGCCCAAGCATCTCCCCATGCCATAGCTAAATGTGCATCTCAAGGGAAGATGATGCACATCTTCTTCCAGTGTCAAGGTCGTGATCACTAGTACTGACAGCACATTTCTCCTGCAGCTAATTGGAAGGGGGTGGGGTAACAGTGAAGGAAGCCAGCCTGGGCTGAATGCTTGCATTCATTGCCTAGTTTGTGATGAGCCACCTGGCTTTATGTCCATAGAGCTAGTCACTGATCTCAGTGTAAGACAGTGAATTGCCTGCCAGATGGGATTTGCTAAGGTCAGTGCTGTTGGCTGAGAATGATTGCATCAGCAAGGACTAGTACATGGGGTCTCAAAGGAGATGGCAAGTATGCTATGGCCATCAGAATGGTCACAGTGTGCAGCCAATAAAATAAGCAGCAGGGATGTACTGGTTCTCATTTCTCTACTACACCTTCATGGACAGATAGGGGTGTGGGAAGAGCCCTGAGATGCCAAAGTCCTGGCTTCTCCTGCTCCCAGCTGGGTGACCCAGGGTAAATTATTCGATGACTTTCTGGGCCTTAGTCTCCAAGTCTGTAGAATGGGAAAAATCTTCTCTGCCTTCTCTACTTTACCCGCCAGTCATGATGATAAGACTTAGAAGAGAAATGGAGCGTATTCTTACTGTTCTTGTTAACACAATTGGTGATGTGATTACTGTGTCTTTTATTAAAACATGATGCTATTCATATGTGGCCCCCTGCTGTCCCTGCAGTGTCTGTCTTCATGGTGATGACTGTAGAAGCTACATGTCCTTTGCATGTTGCTTCTCCATTTATGATAGGTTTCTGTTGTGGAGTCTTTCTGTTAAGAGTCTTTGTAGCCAGCTTTCTCTCAGCTAAATATTGTGACACAAAGTGAGTTATCATAAAGGGAAGCCTGTTTTAACCCCTGGAGTAGTAAGAGAGTTAGACCCTGAATTCCAAGTCAAGGCTGCACCTGTCACCTCTCGTAGGCATGTCATCAAAGCCAAGCTATAGCAGCAGTAAATCTTCCCACTCCTTTAGAAACACTTCTTGATGCTCATTAAACCACTCTTCCCAGTCATTACAGAATGTTGTGTTATGAAAAGCATATGAAGCACACAGTCATATAACTCCAACGTATCATAAATTTTACATAATACCAATTTTCCAGTTCTAATAGATTTCAACCCACCATAAAATTTGCAACAGATTTGTTTATCTACACTTTACAAGGACATTTTATGGATAATTCAGTTGATCCGATTTTTTTGGCAGCTTGCTAGAAAGCATTCAGGTCCACACCGCCCCACTGTGGGCTATGCCCTTCCTCTGTCCTGTTCCAGCTCAGCTTTCAGAAGGCCACGGGCCTCCCTAATGGGCACCTGCCCACCGGCCACCCTGGCCAGGATGGCCTTCCTGTGTGTTTCTGCAGCACCTGGGCTTCCTTCCTGGTCTTTAACACATTGTCATGACAGTGTCCCTGGAGCCCTCTGGCCCCTACTGCATGGTCTGGTGCCTGGCTCAATAAAGAGATGCCCTTTGAATCAGATCTTCTTTCACTTGGGTATTGATAAACAAATTTAGCCTAGCAAATCACAGCTACTTGCAGTGAACTCACAGGTACTCGTTCAGTGACACGAGGCAAGGCAACCTCTAGGCAGAGGGTGTCTCTGGCCTTTGACCGTTAGGGTAGCCTTTTCTCCTATGACTTGCAGAGCCCTTGGTACCTCCTTTGGCCCCTGGTCTCATTTTCCCAGACCTCAGCTATCAGTGTGATGAGCTGACTAAAAAGGCAAAATTCAGAAAACAGCATGTATTTATTTCACTTCCTTGCTGAAGCCTGCTTTTCCTACCGTTTAACCCTATGATTCCTGTTGTCATGGTGACCCGGTGCTCTCCTTACTTAGTGGCAATGAACTGGGTCATTGCATGCCTCTTATTGGCTGTGTGCTGCAAGCTCCAGGAGGGAAGAAGCAGTGTGTATTTGCTCAACCCAACAATGTAGATGCTCATTAAATTATGAGAAAAAGTTGATATTAAGATATATTTATTTGGTCAGGCATAAAAGATAAAAGGCTGAGTCTGTCTCCACAATGATCTGCAGTGTAGTGAGTGGGCAATAAGAAAACAGGAAATCATAGTTAAAAAGTAATAACCACCACTGAGGGAGGTGAGAACCACAACCAGGGAGGTGAGAACCACAACAAAGGAAGTGATAACCACAACCAGGGGAGTGATAACCATGATGAGGGACCTGATGACCACAATGAGAGAGATAAAACCACAACCAGGGAGGCGATAGCCACAACCAGGGAAGTGATAGCCACAACCAGGAAGGTGATAACCACAACCAGGGAGCTGATAACCACAATGAGGGAGGTGGTGACCACAATAAGAGCAATATGAACCACAACCAGAGAGATGATAACCACAATCAGGGAAATGATAACCACAACCAGGGGAGTGATGACCACAGCGAGGGAGGTGATGATCACAGGGAGGTGAGAACCACAACAAGGGAGGTGGTGACCACAAACAAGAGAGGTGAGAACCACAACCAGGGAGGTGAGAACCACACCCAGGGGAATGAGGACCACAATGAGGGAGGTGATGACCACAACAAGAGCAATAAGAACCACAGCCAGAGAGATGATAACCACAACCAGGGGAGTAATTACTACACCCAGGGGAGTGATAACCACAACGAAGGAGGTGATGACCACAACCAGAGAGGTGATGACCACAACCAGAGAGGTGATAACCACAACCAGGGAGGCGATAACCACAACCAGGAAGGTGATAACCACGACCAGGGAGCTGATAACCACAATGAGGGAGTTGGTGACCACAATAAGAGTGATAAGAACCATAATCAGAGAGGTGATAACCACAATCAGGGTAGTGATAACCATGACCAGGGGAGTGATGACCACAAAAAAGGAGGTGATGAGCACAATAAGGGAAGTGATAGCCATGACCAGGGAGGTGATGACCACAACCCAGGAGGTGATAACCTCACCCAGGGGAGTGATAACCATGATCAGGAAGGTAACAACCACACCCAGGGAGGTGATAACTACACCCAGGGGAGTGATAACCAGAACAAGGCAGGTGCTGATCACAACCAGAGAGGTGATAACCACACCCAGAGAGGTGATAACCGCAACCAGGGAGGTGATGACCACAACCAGGGAGGTAAGAACCACAACAGTGAATGTGAGAACCACAACCAGGGTGGTGATAGCTATAGCAATAGAGGTGATAACCACAACCAGGGAAGTGATGACCACAATGAAGAAGGTGATGATCACAACCAGAGAGGTGATAACCACAACCAGGGAGGTGATAGCTATAATCAGGGAAGATGTCACCGTAACCAGAGAGGTGGTAATCACAACCAAGTATGTGATAGCCACAACCAGGGAGGTGACAGTCACAACTAAGGAAGGTGTATTACTTCATTCTCATGCTGCTATGGAGAAATACCTGAGACTGGGTAATTTATAAAGAAATAATTTTAATTGACTCAGAGTTCTGCATGACTGGGAAGGTCTCAGGAAACTTACACTAATGGCTGAAGGCACCTCTTCACAGGGCAGCAGGAGAGAGAATGAATGCCAAGTGAAGGGGGGAGCCCCTTATGAAACCATCAGATGTTGTGAGAACTCACGATCAGAACAGCATGAGGGAAACCACCCCCATGATTCAATTACCTCCCACCTGGTCCCTTTCATGACATGTGGGGATTATGGGAACTACAATTCAAGATGAGTTTTGGGTGGGAACACAGCCAAACCCTATCAGCAAGTATCTCAGTCCATTCATGCTAAAATACTGTAACCTGAGTAGCTTATAAATAACATAAATCTATTCAGAGTTCTAGAGGTGGGAATGTCCAAGATCAAGGTACTGGCAGATCTAGGGTCTGGTGAGGGCTCACTTTCTGGTTCACAGGGCCATCGATGTGCTGCTTTCTCACATGGCAGATGAGCAAACAAGCTCTTTTGGGCCTCTTTCATAAGGACACTAATCACCTCCTAGAGGGCCCAACTCTTCCTGCATTGGGGATTAGGTTTCAGCCTATGGATTCTGGGGGACATAAACATTTGGAGGATAACAGGAAGTGATAGCCACAACCAAGTGGTGCGGAAAGTATGGGACGGGGTGGGGGCAATGGCCAGGAGTTTCTTCCTAGGCGGGTGATGGTAGAGCAGGTGCTGGAGGGAAAGTAGGCATTATCTAGGACAGAGGGATATAAGGAGAGTGTTCTGGGTAGAGGCGATAGCAGCTGGGGTGTGCAGAATGTGGATGCACTTGGGAGGCTGTGGAGGAAAGCAAGAGGTTTCCGTCTTCTTGGGAGCTCTGTCCTTTTAGTGCATAGTCATCAATGCTTAGAGTTTTGGATTCACTTTGTTTTTCAGTTGATGAAAGTTGTGAATGAAATGTGTCCCAATATCACCAGAATTTACAACATTGGAAAAAGCCACCAGGGCCTGAAGCTGTATGCTGTGGAGATCTCCGATCACCCTGGGGAGCACGAAGTCGGTGAGAAGGGCCCCTCTGGGATGCTTGGCCCCTTCATCTTTGGTACCCATGTAAACAGTTAGGAAATTGTTTACCCTATGAGAAGATTCATGCCACAGGGCATCAGCTGTCCACACCACTGCTGTCTCACGTAGACAGATTCTGCACATGTTGGCTCTGTGAACCACTCATCTTATGATATGGACTATAGAATTATTTACACTGGAAATACCCATCTTCTCTCCAAAGGGAGCATATTTCATTCTCTCTCGTCCACCTCTGAGACCAACCACAACAGCCAAAGAAGAAAGTGGCTGAGGTGGGCAGAACAGAACTTCTTCCTCCTTCAGGATTCCCTGATCGTTAATGGCTCATATTAGAGGAGCTTCTCCCGCTTTTTAAAAAAATTCAATTCTATTTTTAGATATTTCCTGTTTTCAGCCATTTCCCATTCAGTCACTCCCCAGCCTGCACCTCTATAGGTCAGATGGGCTTCTTTGTTTCTCTTTTTGGTAAATCTGGGAGCTCTTTAGAAATCTGCTGATATCTAAGTACAAAGATTTGTCTGATTTCCTTGAACATTCATCAAAGTCTCAGGAGTTCCTCTCAGGAGGTTTTTTGTTTTGTTTTGTTTTAGATGGAGTTTTGCTCTTGTTGCCTGCTGGAGTGCAATGGCACAATCTCGGCTCATGGAGCCCTCTGCCTCCTGGGTTCAAGCAATTCTCCTGCCTCAGCCTCCTGAGTAGCTGGGATTACAGGCATGTGCCACCATGCCCAGCTAATTTTTGTATTTTTAGTAGAGACGGGGTTTCTCCATGTTGGTCAGGCTGGTCTTGAACTCCCGACCTCAGGTGATCCGCCTGCCTTGGCCTCCCAAAGTGCTGGGATTACAGGAGTGAGCCACTGCACCCGGCAGGTGTTTATTTCAAATAATAAAAACTTTATCTTCTGGTAAAATCACATTTCCTCAAAAGTAGCAGCTTTGCCAATGAGGGAAGGAAATGTGTTGTCAGCTTGAGCCCAACACTGATAAATGCCAGGCCCTAGTCCTTTCTGGCTGCTGTAACAAAATATCAGAGGTTGGGAAATTTATAAACAACAGAACTTTATTGCTCACAGTTCTGGAGGCTGGGAAGTCCAAAGTCAAAGCATGGGCAGATTCAGTGCCTGGTGAGGGCTGTTCCTCTTAAGACCCCTTCTTGTCTTACATGGCAGGAGCAGAAGGTCAAAAGTGCCTGGCTAGTTCTCTGGAACCCTTTTATAAGAGGAGTAATCTTTTCATCACTTCCTGAAGGGACCACCTCTTTTACTTATTTTTCCTTTTTTTGAGACGGTCTCATTCCGTCTCCCAGGCTGGAGTACAGTGGCATGATCTTGGCTCATTACAACCTCTGCCTTTTGGGCTCAAGCAATCTTCCCACCTCAGCCTCCTGAGAAGCTGGGACTGTAGGTGTGCATCACTATGCCCAGCTAATTTTTTTTTGTTTGTTTTTTGTAGAGTTAGGGTTTTGCCATGTTGCCCAGACTGGTCTTGAACTCCTGCACTGGAGCCCTCTCCCAAAGTGCTGGGATTATAGGTGTGAGCCGCTGCGCCTGGCCGGCCCCTCCTCTTAATACTCACGTTTGATCTTAAGTTCCAGCATATGAATTTTAGGGGGGCACATACATTAAACCATAGCACCCTAAGATTTAAAAGCTGAGCTCTGAAAGAAAAAATACCTAAAGAAAGCCCACTTTACACTGAGTCACTGCTGATTTGCCCTGATGGACTATTTTCTGCTTATATTCATTTGTCTTTGTTAAACTTAATAGGAAGTTATTTTAAGAAAAATAATTGCCTCCCAAAAGAGAGGCACTGATTGCTATGGCTTGTGCTCAACTTGTAAATGTTAAGCCCTAAGCACTATGCTATTTGATCGGTTCTTGGTAAGTAAGAATGGACATTATTACCCTGTGACAGGTGTCATGTCAGATTTTTCTATACATTTTCTTACATACCTGACTCTCTGGGAATAACACAGTTGTCCTGATGTCATTTTAGAGGTTTGTTTGAAAGAACAAATAGGGCTAAAATGGTAAGCTTATCTCATTCAAGACTTTCCCCCTAACACAACATGACAAGCACTGTTTGGCCCTAAGTGTTTCAACATGAACCTGTGCTTCTCTCTGTCTTTGAGTAAAGGTGAGCCCGAGTTCCACTACATCGCGGGGGCCCACGGCAATGAGGTGCTAGGCCGGGAGCTGCTGCTGCTGCTGGTGCAGTTCCTGTGCCAGGAGTACTTGGCCCGGAATGCGCGCATCGTCCACCTGGTGGAGGAGACGCGGATTCACATCCTCCCCTCCCTCAACCCCGATGGCTACGAGAAGGCCTACGAAGGGGTAATAGCCCTGGCCCATCTCACCCAATAGGACGTGGGCAGTGAGGCCCCAGCTCCAGAGTATGCCCAGCTCCAGGGTTATGCAAAATTCCACCTTACGAGCTTTATTTATTTATTGTTTGAGTCGGAGTCTCCCTCTGTCGCCCAGGCTGGAGTAGTGTCACGATCTCCATTCACTGCAACCTCTGCCTCCTGGGTTCAAGCGATTCTCCTGCCTCAGCCTCCTGAGTAGCTGGGATTACAGGCACCTGCCACCACACCCAGCTAATTTTTGTATTTTGAGTAGAGAGGCGGTTGGCCAGGCTGGTCTCAAACTCATGACCTCAGGTAATCTGCCAGCCTTGACCTCCCAAACTGCTGGTATTACAGGTCTAAGCCACCGTGCCTGGTCACACGAGTTTTATTTTGGAGTGTCTCTGCTGAGGCAGGGAAGCCCACAAGGTTTATGAAAGGTGCAAAGCAGGCACTGAGAATGATGGTGGCCTTGAGAGGTGGACGTGCCGACAAACTGGAGGAAGTGAAGATGAACAGCAGTATTGCTATATACATAACGATAATGGAATCCAGTAGTACCACTTTATGTTGGCTAAGCACTTAATCATGGCATGTGTTAGCCTTGATTATTGCCTTTAATCTTCTCATCAGTCTTCTGAGGAAGTTGTTTTATTATTCTGATATATTCTTTATATTTTATGTTCCAATTATGATATAGAACATATTTAGGTTATAGGTTTGTATAGAATATGCACATGTACAGAATTATGTATAAAGAGAACATAGAGTATAGTTAGTATTATGTTGTGTTGTGTATTGACAGTGATATATCACAATACCTGGGAATAAAATCGAAAATTATATTTAAACAATGGTACCTATCAAATACAAGCTTTACAGTATAGAAATGTGGTCGCATTTATTGGTGCAGATATAGTCAGTTAGGAATTTGCATTACTAAATAGTGAGCCAGAATCATGGTCAGGCAGGGAGAATGCATTACTATGGTGGCCAGTGATACTGCAATGATGAGTTCATTGCTACTCAGAGGTTCACCTGGCCAGTATGGAAGAGAGGAAGGTGGGGTGGAAGAAGGAACCTAATGCTTTTTAAGCACTTCCATGTGGCAGGGGTGGTTCTCTGAATTCCCTCTTTGGAGTAATTTGACTGAACTATCTACCACTCACCAGATATTAATAGGAAGTTTTTCAATATTCTCCTTTAGATGCCATCTTTGGGTCAAAGGGCATCCAGAGGCTTAGAGACCCTCCCCAAGGGGAAGTGGAGACAGATGCATCTTGTATGGTAGAGGGTCCGCGTTGAATGCAGCCTGTGCCTTCCTCACACTCTCACTTGTCTCCAGGGCTCGGAGCTGGGAGGCTGGTCCCTGGGACGCTGGACCCACGATGGAATTGACATCAACAACAACTTTCCTGATTTAAACACGCTGCTCTGGGAGGCAGAGGATCAACAGAACGGCCCTAGGAAAGTTCCCAATCACTATATTGCAATCCCTGAGTGGTTTCTGTCGGAAAATGCCACGGTGAGTCAAAATACCCCTCATCTATAAAGCAGCAAAAGGCCAGGCTTAACCTCCATTGGTATTTGCTGAGGATAGGACATTTAAGAAAGAGACAAAACCATTTTTTTTCTTTCATGTTTTCTCCAAAAGCAGATAAGTGTGCTAGATAATAACTACCTTTTAGGTGGATATTTGAGGAGATTCTTCATAGAGGAGAAATCATTTAATTATATGTCTTAACAAGCACGTGGAGGTTCAAAACCAAAACAATCTCCCCTGAATTGCACATGTTTGTTACTACCTTTAATATCTTTCTCACTGTTGGTTATATTACTAAGAAATTATCCTTAGCCCTTACTGATTGCTAAATATATCTTAGTTTTATTTTAGTACATCCCCTTGGGTTTACTACATGTGGTGTTTCTTTGGAAACAAAAATGAAATTAGATGAGAAATATTTCCCCAGATTTCTTAGGTCTTGTTTTACAAAGAGTATGTTGTAGAAGAAATAATTCTCCCGTACCTCTTGTTGTCTTTCCTGGGCATCATAGTTGAGCTCCGTACTCTGATTCTTCGATTGTAAACATTCTTCAAGAGTTCTACCTTTATTGATATATAAGTTAGTGTTGGGTTCAGCCGCAGCCACAGAAAAATCAAAATAGTGCCTTAACAAGGTAAAAGTTTCTTTCTTTCTTCACGTGAAAGTACCCTGGAAGCCAGCCAAGGACCAGCCAAGTAGAAGCCTGGTAATCATGAGGATCCCAAGATTCATCTCTGTCTCTGTCTCTGCCATGTCAGCATGTGGCACTCATCTTCAAGGTCATAATCCAGGGTGGCAGCTGGTGCTCCAGCTGTCATGTCTCTGAAGGAACAGGAGAGAAAGGGCTTGGGGAAAAGAAAAAGTTCTTCTCTCAGATATTTCAATTTCCTATAAGTGGTTCTACATAATGCTTCTGCTTAACTCTCACTGGCCAGAATTCAGTTGCACATGGTATCAGCCATTGCAAGGAAGGTTGGGAAATGCTATATTTTAGACAAGCAAATTGCAAGCTCAAAACGAACAAACAACAACAAAAAAAGGTTGGACTTCTCCTACTGGGGATTAAAGGGATCTGGAGAGAGGACAGCAGCTCTCCCTTGGCGTTCCAGCCCCCAGCACAGCACATGTGGGTGCTACTTACTGGAGGAGGAGCAGCAGGGTGGGCTCCTTTAGTGACTGACAGTCCAGGGTCATCCAGGCCCTCAGGAAGTGAGCAGTGGGGTGATGAAGACAGACAGCAGCAATGCCACTTGGTTCAGTTAGGATGCCCAAGGGTGCTGATGTGGGCAGGAGACTAGGGAGGCCCCTGAGTCTTGTGTCTTCTAAATCTGCTCTTATGTTTCCCACATACCCTGTTTTAGTTGTTTTTTGCTCATTTGTTTGTTTTTCCATCTAACATCCTAATGACACTGGGCAAAGTTGACAATTCAAGCCATGTTATACTTTGGGAACACTTAGACCAAAATTGGAATTTGGTTGCCGGCTTTCTTAGCCACTAGGCTATAAGAGCTAAGCAATCCTTTTAGCACAATTGTGCAGAGTCTCTGGATGTTCAGTCTTTGCTTTTAGACTAGAATTTAGTTATTTGACCTTGTTGTCTAGAACTACAAGGAGAATTACACAATTCTATCATCACCAATAGTTTTCTCAATTGTGGATACACTAGATAGATAAGAAATCAGCAAAGATAAAGATTTGAGTAACAAGGATAACAGGCTTGACATAAGGGACCTGTAAGAATTCTATAACCAATGACGGCCGGGCGCGGTGGCTCACGCCGGTAATCCCAGCACTTTCAGAGGCCGAAGCCAGCGGATCATGAGGTCAGGAGATCGAGACCATCCTGGCTAACATGGTGAAACCCCGTTTGTACTAAAAATACAAAAAATTAGCCGGACGTGGTGGTGGGCCCCTATAGTCCCAGTACTTGGGAGGCTGAGGCAGGAGAATGGCGTGAACCCAGGAGGCGGAGTTTGCCGTGAGCCCAGATGGCGCCACCGCACTCCAGCCTGGGTGACAGAGCGAGACTCCATCTCAAAAAATAAAAAAAAATTCTATAACCAATTATTAGAGAATATTCTTCTCAGTAATCCTGTAACATTTAAAAAAATTGATGATAAACTGGGTTTATAAGGGAAATCTCAACAAATTTCAGAGAATAGGTATCAGACAGACCTTGGTCTCACCACCATACAGTTAAACTAGAAGACTGTAATAAGATTAATGAAAACTTCTTCATGTATTTAGAAAATAAAAAACTTCTAAAGAATAAGTCAAAGAAAAAAATACTGACAACTAATAAATAATTAGAACTGAATAATAATGAAAAGATTACATATGAAAATTTGTGGATTATAGCAAAGTATAGTGCTTTAGGAAAATTTATAACTTTAAGTTATTATATTGCAAAGGAAGGCTGAAAGTTAACTAACTTAAGAAGTTAGCAAATAAATAAATAAGTAACAGAAGAAACCCAAAGAAAGAGGGATTAATCTAAAAACAAGGGCATTGAGAGGCTGAGGCAGGCAGATCACTTGAGGTCAAGAGGTCAAGACTAGCCTGGCCGACATGGTGAAACCCTGTCTCTACTAAAAACACAAAAATTAGCCAGGCGTGGTGGTGCACAACTGTGGTCCCAACTACTTGGGAGGCTGAGGTAGGAGGATCGCTTGAACCTGGGAGGTGGAGGTTGCAGTGAGCTGAGATTATGCCACTGCACTCCACCCTGGGCAACAGAGTGAGACCCTGTCTCAAAAAAAAAAAAAAAAAAAAAAAAAAAAAAAAAAAAAAAAAAAAAATTCATAAATAAAAAGCAAGGGCAAAAATGAATGAAATGATAGAAAATAAAGAAATAATATGAAGTGATTTGTCTATAGAAAGGTGTGTTTGATCAAATTTAACAATTATTCACAATAATATCTTGTCAAATTTTGAATATAGCTTTTAGTGTGAGGAAGGCTATTTTAGGTGAGATACAAATGGTATTAATCATAAAAGATTAGTAAATTCGACTACATGGAGGTAGGAAAGCGTGTTCCTCAAAAGATTTGAAAAACTGTGACAAGCTAAAAATTGGGAGGAGTTATTTATAAATTATATAAGTGAGAATGTTGAAAATTTAAAAGCTGAAGAATAACAAATAATAAAAATATGAACAATTCAGTAGAAAAATGGACAAAAGGTAAGAAAGGAGGAAACAGAGTTAATAAAAATGACAAGATGTTCTACCTCACTAGTACTAAGGAAATGCAGATGAGAGAACATATGTCCATTGTTTGGCAAAAGTAAAAATCCCCCCAGTGTGGGAGGGAATACGGGACAGATTTCTTGTACATAGTGGGTGAGTATACACTGTGGATGAGTATACATTGTGGATGAGTATATACTGTGGATGAGTATACATTGTGGATGAGTATACACTGGCGTAATGATATTGGAAAATAATTTGATTACCTTGTAAAGTAGAATATTTTTATATCCTATGCCTCTGCAATTTCACTTCTGGTGATATGTGCAAGATAAATTCCAACACATATGTACCAGAAGACAGTAAAAGAAAGTTCAAAGCAACACTCTTCATTATAGCAAAAGATTGAAAATTACCAACGCCCATCATTTAAGAATAGGTATTAATACATTAAATGGAATCACCATATTGAAGTGAAAAAAAGCCTGAAAATAGCTTTATTCAACAACAGGATGAATATGGGAAACACAAAATTGAGTGGGAGGAAAAAGAAATTGCAGAAGGCAACCAGCAGTATCGTTGCGCCCCTCCACCCCTACCTATTTTTATTTTTAGATCAAAAGCAAGTAAAACCAAACAGTATATTTTCAGGTATACACATATGGGATAAAACAAAAGAGAGAGAATGAGAATCACATCACTTAGGATACAGTGGGTGCCTCTGAGTGGGAGGCAGGAGGGTGGATAGGTAGGATGGTGTAGGCACACAGAGCAGAAATTGTTAGTGAGGTCTGCGGTTGGATGGTGGGTTCACAGGTGTTTTCCATGTTGAAATAAATAACAGAAGGGAATCCCAGCACTTTGGGAGGCTGAGGCGGGCGGATCATGAGGTCAGGAGATTGAGACCATCCTGGCCAACATGGTGAAAACCCATCTCTACTGAAATACAAAATATTAGCCAGGCATGGTAGTGTGTGCCTGTAGTCCCAGCTAGTCAGGAGGCTGAGGCAGGGGAATCACTTGAACCCGGGAGGCGGAGGTTGCAGTGAGCCAAGATCGCGCCACTGCACTCCAGCCTGGCAACAGAGCAAGACTCTCTCTCAAATAAATAAATAAATAAATAAATAAATAAATAAATAAATAAGAAGGGGACCAAGCACAGATCAACAGTGATACTGTGTAATGAACTAAGCTCTCTCATTGGTCCAATCCAGGGCCCCTGAGGTGTTTAAACAAAAACAACAAAACTTAATGAATCCCAAGTCCATCTCATCCCTTACTCAGTTTTCTATACACCATGGTGAAATGATTTCCAATGTCTGTTATCATTGTCAATTTGATCTTACTGAGATTATCTTCACAGAGGTTAGCAATTTATGATAAATACTTGTTTCACTGATCAATGTTTGACCATATCAAGCTTTCAAATTTTAGCTTTTAACATGGTTTTCTTTTTTTCTTAAATGTTATTGTTAAACGATGTCAGGCATACGGAATTAGGGAGGAAGCTGCCCAGGATCGCCATGGACCCATCTCAGCTCTGACACTTACCGATTCCTGTCCCGTCCACATCTTCACTCACTTTCTCCTCCTCCCCCAGGTTACTGAAACTAAACCCAGGCATCATAGTCTTTCTTTTGTAAAGATTTCAGTAGCTATCTCTGAAAAATAAAGGCACTCTTTTTACAACCATAAGGCGTTACCATTATTATATCAAAATAAAATATTCCTTAATATTGTCAAGTATCTGGTCAGTGCTCACATTTCCCCTGTTATTCCCCCCTCCCCAAGGTTGTTTAAATCAAGATCCAAACAAAGCCCATTCATTTGATTGGTTTATGAGTCTTTCTAAGTCTCTTTCACATTTTCCCAGAATTGATTTTGAAATTCGAAACTTTACTAAGATTATTCCATAAAAGCACTGCTTTTTTGACTGCGTCCCTGTTTGACAGCTGGGGAGAGAAAGCGGCTTCCTGCTCATTTTACTTGTCCATTTGGGATGTTCACAGGTGGCCGCCGAGACCAGAGCAGTCATAGCCTGGATGGAAAAAATCCCTTTTGTGCTGGGCGGCAACCTGCAGGGCGGCGAGCTGGTGGTGGCCTACCCCTACGATCTGGTGCGGTCCCCCTGGAAGACGCAGGAACACACCCCGACCCCCGACGACCACGTGTTCCGCTGGCTGGCCTACTCCTATGCCTCCACGCACCGCCTCATGACGGACGCCCGGAGGAGGGTGTGCCACACGGAGGAGTTCCAGAAGGAGGAGGGCACTGTCAATGGGGCCTCCTGGCACACTGTTGCTGGAAGTAAGCCTCCCTCTGGGGGAGAGTGGGCTGCAGGCACAGGAGGACGCTGCAGGGGTCTCCCCCGGCCCTCCCGGTATCACTACTGTCCCGTTGTCACTAAGTGGTGGCTGCCACGGTGGAGCACTTAGGACCTGCCAGCACTTTCCTAAGCACAGCACTCAGGCTCTCCTTCCATCCTGGCCCCAGTCTCACTTTCCAGTGCACAAAGGAGATAACAGGGGCTGGAGACCCAAAGGGATCTGCTCGAGTAAGAAAGGCACAGGGCTGGGGTCTCTGACTCCGTGGCCTGTGCTTAGCCTCCAAGCTATTCAGATTTGACAGGGCCAGAGATGGATAAAATTGGAGTTAATGGCAATAGTGGACAAAACAAAAACAAAGACAAAAAAAACCCAACCTAGTGAAGGGGTGGAGAGCATGCTGGTGCTGGCGCTGGAGCCTGAGTTTTTCTTTTCTTATCTGTACGAGCTCTTCTGTTCTTGGGTGATGTCCTGTGCTGTAAACCCACAGAGGGGGCCAGGCATCCATCCCAAGCTCAGCTGTGAAGGGACTGTGAGCTGCAGACTGAACCTGTGGTGAGGACGGTTCCATTCATACCTGCTGTCCTCCAGCGGCCAGCGGGCCGTCCCGTCACACTCATACCCACAGCCTGCGGTCAACACTGACTGTGTGCTGCATGGGGAATACAAAGTATTGCTCCTGGCATCCACTCAGCACTGTAGAGGCTCCCAGGAGAGACTTCAGAAATTCCCTCACAGCAGCCAGAGGGCCCCGCGGTCCACACGTCAGGACAAGCACTTGGTTTCCTGTCTCAGGGCTGTTCCCTAAACCAGGAGGGATGAGGATGTCCCATTTCCAAAGTCCCTCTGCATGGACTGCAGGACCCCGGGCATAACGCTTCTTGCTTCCTTCCTTCGCTTTGTGAGGGTTGCTCAAGCCAATGATGAATTTGCAAAATATTTTCACGTCAGACTGGGGGTTCAAATCCCACTCTGTTACTTAGTTGCTGTGTGATGCAGGGCCAGTTACTTAACCTCTCTGAACCCTTGCACTTTTTCATTTGTAAAAATGGTCATGATGAAGAGGAGGAGGAGGACGGTGGTAGTAATACCAGCTCCCTCCAGGAAGCTGTGAGGATTACGCAGGTGGAAGATGTGGATGTGCTTGACGTGTGGCTCACAGAAATAGTCGCAATAAGTTCCCGTCCCCTGCGGACTCCCCTCTGCAGTGACACGCTGCTGTGGAACCTCATATAAGCACATCCTTATTGTCGGTTTCACTGTACTGATAAGCGTTAATATCGTTTGACTTTGTTAGAAACTCAGCCTTCACCTACTTTTCAAGTATGTTCCCACCTTTGGGAAAAGAAAAACAAAGTAGAAATACTTGTTTCCCTGGGCATTTTAAAACATGTGCAGAAAGCTTGACGTTTTGCCTTCTACAGACCAAGTGGAGGCATTTTATCTAAATCCATCATGGTTTTACCTTGTATGAAATAAAAAAAAAAATGCAAATCTCTATCTATCAAGAAAAATTCCTAATCACAAAAAGCATTCTTGCTTTTCAAGTTTTTAGCCCTAAAAACCCACCTACAAAAAGCTTTAAGTAAAATACCTGTTTATTTTTTATGGCTGCTGTGACTAAATTGGGCATGGGCACACCCGGATTCCCCAGTATTGGTCACTCGTAACATTTTGCGAAGTTGGCTGCCACACAATCACATAGGTAGCGTTTGATTTTTTTTCTATCAATTATATTTTCCATTATTTCTGGGACTTTGCAGCAGAGCCATGTGGTAGCTTGAGCCTTTTTAATCATTCATCTTCCTGACAGTGTGATGAAGTCTGCAGATTCATTGCTTTGTAGATTAATGAAATGTGACTTGTAATTTCCTTTCCTCCCCCTCCCTCTCCTCTCCACCTTTTTGTTCCATTTTTTTTCTTACTCATTAGCTGTGCCCTGCCAGGCACTAGTTAATGGGGAGTGGCCCAGTCAAGAGCAAGGGTCAATACACTTTGAAATGTACATTGTTTGGAGTATGTGTGCTTTCACTCCAGACTCCTTTGAGCCTCTCTGTTCCTGCAACCCTGCACCTTCTCCTCTACAGTGAAAGAAGGCGTTGTGGTTGCATCAGATGCACAGAGCTGTAAGGAATGTGGCTGTGCCTTCCCTGCTGAAGCTGGTGACAAGAGAAGGATGCCAGTTAGGGAGAGAACGCAAAGGAATATCTCACCACCCCAGCTAGGACTGAAGGCTTATGAAGAACTATCTGGGGCACATCGTGGCCCCTTGTTCACACACTTCAGACAGGAAGTAGCATTTTGCTTTCGAAGCCTGTCTCTGGCCATGTGTTCTCAGCAAGGTGATACACTCTGGAAGGCTGGCGGGCGGCAGCAGGACAGCAAGGCCCAGGCTTCTCCACTTCCCTCTGGTTTCTCATTTTGCCAGTTCTTCTAAAACTTCCTGTGCTCTGAAGACACATATTGCAAAATGGCAGGCTCACTCCAGAACGTTTAAATATCGCATTTATTTCGGTGCTAACAAGGACTAAAAGGGTGGAAGTGACAATCGTTTTCTCTGCAGACAGGTGTTCAGCCCTCCCGGAAAGCTGAAACCTGTGCTCACTGGTGGCCTGTTGTCCCCTGGCCTTCTTGCACTGTCTGTAATTCCACACTGCGGGTTTGACCGAAGGAATTTTGACCAGTCTGCTTCAATGAGACGGGGGCCCATGTGAAGGATTTTCCATTGACTTGGCTCTGTCCCACCCTTTTTATTCCACTGCTCTCACTGCAAACACGCTCAGTGTTTCATCACAGGCTTAATCAGAGGCCCATTGCTGATGACATGTGAATGGTTCGAACCTGGCATTGGGTAGAGTGGCTGTATACTTAACGCCATTTTGCCTCTGACTTCAGTGACCAGGCAGCAGATTGATAGAGTTGCTCTTGACACCCCAAAGCCATGGTTTTGATACTGAGCATTGCAGGAGAGGGTTCCTTCTGGTGCACTGAGTGAGAATGAAGAAAATTTGTCCAAGGCACACAGCACTCCTGCTTTCTGTGACCCTGACCCTAGAGCCCAGGGAGGGTGGTCAGAAGGGCCTTCTACTGGGTGAGTCGCACAGAGCACAGCTTGCTAATCATCATCCTGTTCAAAAACAAAAATGTTGGGAAGGAAGCCACTGGTACTTCAAGCCATCAAACACTCATCTATTTATTTCACAAATGTTGGCTAGTATAGTGGGTGGAGTGGTGGCCTCCCCAGAAGATAATGTCTGCTTTCTAAAACCCCACACCTGGGAATGTTAGCTTATTTGGAAAACGAGTCTTGGCAGGTATCATTATATTCAGGGTCTCCAGATGGGGTCACCCTGTGTTACCTGGAAGCAAGACAGAAGAAGAGGAGAAGCCCATATGAAGACAGAGGCAGAGAGCTTAGTGATGCAGCCTCAAGACAAAGAATGCCAGGGGCCCCCAGAAGCTGCAAGAGGCAAGGAAGGCTCCTCCCCTAGAGGAGGCTCCCCCTCCCAGAGGCTTTGGAGGGACCACAGACACCTTGGTTTCAGACTTCTGGCCTCTGAGACTGTGAGAGAATAAATTTCTGTTGCTTTAAGCCAACCATTTGGTGGTAATTTACACTGTAACAGCAGCCCTAGATAATGAGTCCAGACACCCACTACACATCAGGCTGGGGCTTCCTGTCCTGCTGTCGTCATGCCAGGAGGCAGAAGGCTTGTCTGCTTTCAGGTGTACTGGGGGAGTGGGTTTGCCTACAAGTCCCCAAGCAGTGATGCTCTATTCGGAGCCGTAGGCAAGGGCATGCAGACCTGGGCCCAAACCCTGACTCTGACCCTTTCCAGACACCTACGTGGTCCTGGGTACGATTCTTTCCCTTCTCAACCTCAATTTTCCTGTTTGTAAAATTGTGCTGTGTTGCCTACCTCTGCTGGGTTTGGGATGAAAATTAAGTCACCTAATGGCTGCAGAGTGCTTAGGACAGATCCTGGCTTATAGGAGGCACTCGGCAAACAGTGGCAAGGATCGCAATTTTTGGAATCAAGATAGAAGACTGTCATAGAGCTATAGCTGTGACAGCATAACTGTAGAGAGAAACTTAATCAAACACTTAAAACCTGTAGTGTTCATGAATGATAGCTTTACTCCAAAAATGGAGCGTTAAACTTTTTTACTTTAATAAAGTATTTTATCTAAATAGCATTATTTCAGTTCTTTTGGCTTTTTTGTCAAAGCCACACTTCCATGTGTCCGTCCTCACCACACACCATTCTGGCTGCATCTTCTCTCCAGAATCTCTAACTCACACACATTTGCTCTAATGCAAATTTTTGTCTGTAGTAGATACTTGATACCTCCCTGTTTAAACAAGGCCTTCCGAATGTTCTTAAACATTTCTGCTTCCCCCTGTGTCCCATTCCCCAGTGCCATTTTGAGTATTGTTCAGTTACACTGTTGTCCCATTGGCTTGGCAGGTCTGAACGATTTCAGCTACCTTCATACAAACTGCTTCGAACTGTCCATCTACGTCGGCTGTGATAAATACCCACATGAGAGTCAACTGCCCGAAGAGTGGGAGAATAACCGGGAATCTCTGATCGTGTTCATGGAGCAGGTATATTGAGGGCATGTGGCTGGGATGAGGGGGACTAGCTGGGGGATGAGGCTGCCAGGTGGCTGAAAGTATGGGATGGAATTAGAGCTTCAGACCTTGGCCATCATACTGTGCCGTCTTAGTGCTTTGAGGAGCAACTCTGTGTTGACACTTGAGCAGGCCCCAGGGAAGAGAGCTCTAAACCAATGGTCATTGTGCCCACTGGCCTGGAGCAATTGGGACTGGTTCCTGGGCTCTCTGATGCTGCTCTGTAGGGAACAGGTGCTACGTGTTTGAGCCAACGTGCCCAGGCCCCTTGTCTCAGTCTGCTCTGGCTGCCATCACAAAACACCACAGACCAGGTGGCTTACAAGGCAGACTTGCAGCTCTGGAGGCCAGAAGTCCGAGACGAAGCTGCCCACAGGGTCGGTGTCCTTGGAGCCTTGTCTCCTCGGCTGCCATCTTGCCACCTCTTCACATGGTGGTTATCCTTCTGTGCATGTGCCTCTGTGTATGAGTCCAAATTTCCTCTTCTTAGGAGGACGCCACCTTAACAGCCTCATTTTCACTTAATTACCTCTTTGAAGGCTCCATCTCTAAATAGTCACATTCTGAGATACTGGGGTTGGGACTTCAACATATGAATTTGGGGGCTGGGGTGGGGTGGGGACACAATTGAGTCCCTAACACCCTCCCAGGCCTTCAGAGTCACTGTTGCAGGTGGCAGGAGTGAATGACCTGGGAGCAGCTTTAACAAGTACCGCTGGGCTCTGCTACCCAGCTGGGGAGGGGCTGCTGCTGCCTCTTCTGAGAACCTTGGACACCTCCCTGCCGTAGGCTGTCAAGGACACATCCATCTTGCAGCATTAGTAAATTCACCAGTTCTAGTTCTGCAACTAACCAAACAGTATCCAGGCCCCACTAAGGAACAGACTAACTGGAAAGCAATGGATTAAACAGAAACAAGTGTCAAGCCTCAGGGCTCCTGCTTTTTCTAAGTGTTAATTCTGACTCCACCTTAACCTCCATCCATTTGGAAGTAAGACCCTGAGGCTGGACACAAGGTTCCCCCTCCATGGATTGTGCTCAGCAGTCAGAGGGCACGTTCAGCCAATGGCTTTGGCTGGCACTTTTGGCTGCACTTCTGCACAGGGGGCAGAGGTTGGCACCAGGATTTAGCATCTGACTCTGTCCCATGATGGTCTTGGGAGACTCAGCCCCCAGTGAGCTTCCCTGGCACAGAAGGGTGTGAGTCCATTTTTCCTTCTAAGGGGAACCTCACCCAAGGAATTCCTGTTCCCAGCCTGGAATTTTGTAAGAGAAGGCTCTTTTTCCTTTGCATCCCTGTAAAGAGAAGGACTTGACTGTAACAACCTAATCAGTCTTAAGTAATGATGCCATTTAGCCAAAAGGCCTCCTGTGGATAAAATGCCTAGTCCTCATAATATGCATAAAGTCATTGGTAATTATGGAATGTCACCTTGGATTGGCACATCGTTCTACAAGTGGGGAAACTGAGGCATAAGGTTCAAGTGTATCGCATGACACAGTTAAGTCTTTGGAAGGGTCTATGCCTGGAGTTGTCGTCTGTAGGAAGGTTTCTTTGAATTGTTTGTTTTCCCTCTGACTTTTAAGTCAGCAAGTCCCAAAAAGTCAAAATAAATATGCCTATAAAAATTAAATTTCAGTTTTTAGCAAATGTGTTTCTGTGAACCGTCTCGGATCCTAATACTTTTTAAGCCTCTGGGCATTTTAATGGAAGACTTTCTGGTGCAAGAACCCAAAAGAAATGCAGAAGTTTACATTCCAAATCCATACAGAGCCAGGCAAGCCTATAACCTGAGGACTCCTGTTTTTCTAAGAGATAATTTAATTGGTGTTTTTCTCTTCTTTTCTCCTTTCTCCTTTCCCCTGCTTCCCACTTAGCCTTTTTTGAAATGCAAAATAACCTGTCACTTCCCCCTCAGCAGACATTCCCTGCAGGGCAAGCTCATCTGTGCTCCAAGGCAGAACGCCCACCTCCAGGGGCTGGCCACTTTTACAACTTATTTCTGCCCAGGAAGGTGCCAACTCAACTGTCTGGTAGATAAGACACCAGGCTAGCAGGGTCTAGATAAGACACCTGCCCTTGCTCACTAGCTCCTTCCCTCATAAAAGTATCAGCTTTTTGCTCCAAAGGAGAAGTGGCACATTTTAAAGCAGGATGGTTCCCTAATGCTAACTTCAGAAATAAGTCCACTTTTCTTACACCAAGACCTCGCCCTTGTTAATTGAACCCGACAATGCAGTGAGCAATGAACCTGCTTTTCGGTTCCATGCCCCTGAGCAAGACGTGGTGCTGTGTGAGTTCTTGGTGGGAACCGGCCGATGGCGGGTTGACAGCCCCCTCCATTGTGCCGGTTGTGTCCAGAGCTGGTCGGTGGCCTCACCCTGTGTCTCATGTTCGCTGAGCAGGTTCATCGTGGCATTAAAGGCTTGGTGAGAGATTCACATGGAAAAGGAATCCCAAATGCCATTATCTCCGTAGAAGGCGTTAACCATGACATCCGAACAGGTAACTGCAAATGTGTACCAACTGTCTCTTGGTAAGAAATACCCATTTTTTTTAGGTGTTTTACTTGGGTTACAATCATGAAATGACTGCTGGAAACGTCTTACTCAGAGCCGAATTACAGTCTCCTTCCTCTACATTTCCCACTTTTCAAGAGACCCTTGAAAGGGAGGTTTTCAACCTGTGCTTCCTGGTTGCTCTCTGTCCCTTGCACAGGATGGTCATGCAGCAGCCAGCTGACCTCCAGGTGCAGTGGAAGTTTCTAAGGAGTTGAGGAAGCAGCTCTGTCTCTATGGAGTTGTTGCATCTGCAGGCATCTTAGCTCTCACACCAGGTGGAATGTAGCCTGTGTCCTTAAGCCCAGAGGGGCCGGGGAGGGAGGGAGGGAGCCAGGCTGCTCGGGAGAGGGAGAAGCCATAAACTGGGTGACTTATGGAGGAGTGGAGAGTTTGAAGGGACCAGCAGCAAGATGACAGCTGGAGGGGTGGGTTGGGACTGGCCTTACATGCCCCTCCAGAGAGGATGCAACTTTTCCATTAAAGCACAGGAAATCACTGAGCGTGATGCCTTAGGGAGACTCAGGTGTCTGTAATGTGAAGGGTAGGGTAAGAATAACAGTAATAATAAACGTGGGCATCTCCCATATGCCACTCTGTTAATAGCTTTCTTGTATTAACTCTGTCATTTAACTGCATCATTCCTCACATAAATTGTATCTTTCTTGATGCTGTCATTCGATGAGATGTATCGGGGAGACCCAGCTCCCACTCACTGGAAGGGATGCGTATCTGAGGGTGTTAACTAGTCAGGGTTAGCACGTGTGATTCCCTTTTGAATGCAGGGTAGAAAATTCTAGGAACTTGGATAATCTGAGGGTCAGAGAATGATCTCTGAAAGGCAGTGCTGACATCTTATTCCAACTCTGTTTGCTATGGAAAAAAAGAAATTGTAAGACCCAGGGTTTTATAAACCAAATTCAGTTTCCAGTTCCTAAAATGCCAAAACAATCTCCCATTTTAAAATGCACTTATGAAGTGGCCACACCACGTCAGGACAGCAGAAGGCTGCCCCTGGATCACTCAGCAACAGCAGGAATAAGGAGCTGTTCCCCACACGATCTGTTCTCAAAGAACGCTCACACATGCTTTCTCTCAGTTGTTTTCACTTTATCCCTCTGAGGGAGACAGGCCATTCTTTCCCACATTCAGGTGAAAAACAGCAGCTCAAGGAGGGCACTGACCCACTGATGGTTAAGGGGTTAGAAGAGTTTGGCTTCAGGTCTCTGACCCCCAGGTGGGCTGGAAGATGCCCTACAGGTGCCCCTCAGGGTCCCAGAGGACTCTGCCCTGTTCTTTGCTGGTCAGAAAGTGATATGAAGACAAAGGTGCTTAACAAGTCCAGGTTTTTCTTTTGTGCCACAGGGCTGTCATGACCTGGGATGCCCCACTTAAAACTGAAAATGCTGTGTCCCACTCCCCACCCCTGTCCTAGGCAAACAGGGCCATGATCTGACTTCCCACTGCTCCTCGTGGACTGACAGCCACACAGGGGGTCATCACTGCGGCGCCTCTGTCCACCTGAACCTTCTTCCCTGGGGGGGTCCCTGGGTTCCTGCCTCCTGCCTTTCAGGTCTTTGCTCAGATGGCACCATCTCACTGCAGCCAACCCTGACCCCTGTGAGCATGGCACACCTCCCTGCTGCCCTGTTGGTCCCTCTTACCTGCCCCGACTTTGTCCCTTCTCCATGACACATCTCCCTTCTAACACATCACATAATAGGCTCGTGTGTACTCTGCTCGTTATTTGTTTCTGCCTCTTTGCCCCCACGAGGTCAGGAGCCCTTGACTGTTTGGTTGGTTTGTTCCTCAGTGTATTATGAGCCCCCTGCCTGGCCACTTCTGAGCAGTGGATGCTCAATAAATACTTGTTGATGAATGGGTGGATGAACAGTCCATGATGTTCCAGGATTACCCAGTGAGAGGCAGAACTATGATTTGAGCCAAGCGCTAGAGGCTTCAAATCTGGTGCTCCTTCCTTTATTTCCATGCTATTTTTCTTGATCAGGGAGGAGAGGATCCTTCTCTGCAAACTGTTTCCATGATCCTGTCATGTCAACAAAAGATCCCATTCCACCTGCCAGGAAGCAGACTTTGGGACATTAGGATGAGGTGAGGCTGGAGTTCAGACCTGGCCCACATACCCTTCATTACCAGGCTCCCTAGCAGTGGGCCTGGCATAAAAGACCAAATATGCAAATGGATAAACTGTGTCTAAAATGCCACAAAATTGTAGATTGCTGTATAATGCCATAAATTGCATTTTTCCCACCTAGTTACTGATTTCTTCACTTAATATTTTCTGAACATTCATACCGTTTGTCACTGATCTTATAGCCATGAACCACGAGGCTTCACACCGAATACCATGGAATTTTGTACATCGTAGCCCCTCATAGGTGTTCATTTTTTCCATATATTTATTCACCATTCCTTAATTCAGCAAATGTAGATGGCATAGCTGTAATGTGCCAGAGACCACGCAGAGTGTTGGCGATCATTATGCATGAAAGGCTGTGTGATGTGGTTCTGCATAGGATTTGTATTTTAAACATTACAAATGAAGCTCCTTTGAAATGACAATTCTAGAAGAGCCTAGAACATTCCTTGACTATTTAGTGCTTTGTATGCAATGTGAGAAAACATAAGAGTTTTGAACTGAGTGGGAGATAAAAAGACCCTGGGGCCCCATAAGCTAAGACAGAATACTTTGCCTAATGGGTGCTGAGTTTCAAGCCCCTGCAATCAAGGAGACAGTTTTGATGAGCTAATGGGAAATGCAACTCCCTCCCTTGATTTTCCCCTCTATAAATAATTTCCCAGTGTATTATCATGACAGATAAACTCCATACTTTACACACGGCTCTTTATTCTGTTTCAGAATCTTTCGGTTCTCAAGAAAAGCTCTGAATTTGCCTTGATTTCTGTCTGAGGTTTATGTGATCTGACAAGTTTTATTTTGGGACGGATTTTGCATAAAGTAAACAGAGGTATTAAATGGAATTCCACAGGGAGGGAAGCTGGTAGGAATGCTTTGAGTTAGATGCATATCAGTGCGTTGGACAGACACCCGGCTCGCCGTTCCACACGACTGTCCTTTACTTGGTGGGTGCTGACCTGACCTGCTCGTGTGGACATTCTTTAGACCTGAGTTGCCCCTTCTGCCCGTGTATAGGAGATTGGTCAGGGTGGTGGGAGAAATTATAAGGAAAGACACAAACCTTCTTAGAAGGTCAGGAGGTTTTGCAAACACTTCGGAAGGGCAGAGTAGACAACAAGGGAATGTAAAGGAATTTATCTAGATGAATTTGTTTACTTATGTCTCTAGAAACCAACCTTTGATCATTTTGTGCAGGACTGCTCTCTACTTAGGGCGGTCGACAATGTTAATTACCCACAAATTGTGTTTGCTCCAAGCCTTTGTCATTAAATCTGTACTAAATAAATACAAACATTTCTGGCTTATGGGGGCTGCACTCTTGTCAGTGGTGCTAAGTCGTGCAGTTCCCTATCCACATGCTCAGGCAAAATACTTGTGTCTGCATACTTCTTTCATCCATTGCTTGGCCAGAGTCTGTGGGACAGGCTTGGCACGCATGAATGCCTGGGATGCCCATTACGTGTTGACTTCCACTGCAGCTCCCTAGAAGGTTCACCCTGAAGACAGACCTGAGCACTCATGGGGACAGCAGCCCAACACTGCATCTCCTGCTTTTCATAATGTGATTCCAGACTTTTCCAGTGGCTAGAGACAGAAGCAGAGAAAATGAGAGCCTCAAGGAAGACATTGGGAAAATAGCCAAGAACTGAGGACAGCGTGCCCTGCCAGGCCAATGAGGGCATCAGGCAGATCTGTGTCTCCACAGTAGAAGCTTTCAGATGACAGGGCCAACGCCCCTCATTCTGACTCTGTGAACCCACACACAGTCCTGATCGTTGTATTCATTCTTTTGACCTTTCTTATTGAGCTCCTACTGTGCACCAGACTGGAAATACTGCAGTGAGTAAAACAAGTATGGCCTCTAAAAGTACACATTCTAGTGAAGGAAACCTAGAGATAATTCCAAAATGAAGATTTAAAAGTTTACTATGCACTGTGATCAGTGCCATGAAAAAAAAATAAATCAAGTGATATTTACAGATAGATGGGAAAGCTAAGGAAGGGTCCCTGCCTACGGGGACATACACAGGCTGGCCTTTAGAAGAGCAAAGAATAGCATTCAAGTTGGAGGGAACAGTAATTGCAAAGGCTCAGAGTCAAGAGTCAAGAAACAAAAGGAAGCCTTGTGTGGCTGGAGAGAGGCCGGCTGGGACCAGTGGAGCGCAGTGATGTGGAAGGGGCCCACAGGATCTGCGCTGGGTTTTGCTCTAAGCACTGAGCCCTCATCTGAATGGGGTGAACTCTCAGGCTCACAGGAACACTGTCTCCACCTGCTTGTCTATTTCTCTTCAAAAATTAGAGGGCTTACCTGACAGGGACACAAGGACAGAACAAGTTTCTTGAAAATTAGTGAGAATAGCTTTCATTATTAAAAACAAATTCTAGGACTGGCGTGGTGACTCATGCCTGTAATCCTCGGCACTTTGGGAGGCCGAGGCGGGCGGATCACGAGGTCAGGAGTTCGAGACCAGCCTGGCCAATATGGTGAAACCCCGTCTCTACTAAAAAAAAAAGAAAAAAAAAGTACAAAAATTAGCCAAGCGTGGTGGTGCGCACCTGTAATCCCAGCTACTCAGGAGGCTAAGGCAGGAGAATTGCTTGAACCCGGGAGGCAGAGGTTGCAGTGAGCTGAGATCACGCCACTGTACTCCAGCCTGGGCGATGGAGTGAGACTCTGTCTCAAAAAACAAAACAAAACCAAAAATCGAACTCTAGGCATTTAAATGGAATCTTGCAAGGCCTGACTTTAGAAAGGGTGAAAGGAAGTAGACCTGGCACAGGAGTTGGGAACAGCAGTGGGAACAGTATATGCAAAACCCAGAGGTGTGAGATGTGTGTGTCCTGAGACACCACTGCAAGGCACTCAGAATGGCTGGAACAAAGGGGTGTGAGATACAATAGGGGAGGGCAGGAACTGGGACCCCAGAGGCTCCAGCCACCCAAGGACTTTGGATTTCATCGCCATGTGGCCCTGCGATAACGGCAGGTTTAGGGAGTAAGCACCATGATGTGTATAAGAAGGCCAGCAACAGCACAGAGGGTGGACTGGGGAGGGGACAGGGAGAGCTTCTTCTGGCTTTTTCGGGGACAAGGGGAATCACAAAGGCTTCTTATTAGAAACATGAAGTTGAGCCAGTTATGCTGATAACCATTAATTGTGGGTTTCTTTCACTGCTCAGCTTACTAAGGACCTCCCTTGGTGAGAACCTGGGCTGCCCCTTCCCTGAAGTGTTTAACCTCCAAGTGCCATTGAGTCAGGTGCTCCCACTGAGAGGTCTGCTTCCAGGGGCCTCCAATGGCCAGCGCCCCACAACAGTTGTTGGTAGGGGCAGGCTCTTGGCCTTAACTAATCCCCTCTGAGCACTTTTGGTAGTTGAGACCTGACATGCCCCGCTTCTCAGGCCAGTAAGCCACGTGCTCTCCTGGTCGCTCACTTCTCTCCAGCCCATTCAGTTGAACCAATGTTCTGACCTGTTCGGTGTTCAATCCAGGAGGATAAACGGCATGCATGTTGAGCACGGAAGAGGAAAACATGGGCTCTACAGGTGCCTACAGCTTTAACACAGAGCCGAGGCAGGAAGCAGAGGCCATTTCCACTCTCAAGGATGCGCTGCCTGGTAGCAGGGAGAGGGGAGAGGACAGGCAGGGCACGTGGAGGAGGTGGCTCGCTTGGGCTTGTCAGGGACTGTGGGAACCCCGAGGGAGATCTCCAAACACAAACTTTGCTGTGAGGCTCGAGTCACCTGCTAGTATAATTCAGCCTGTCGATGGGCTCCTGAAAAGGTATGAAGTGGCATTTTATTTAGTTGAAGAACTTGCCATTTCACTAAAAAAGACCCAGGACACATGCCAGGAGCCACCCACCTGAGCGTGTACCTGGGTCTGTCAGATGAGTCCTGTTTTCCTTTCAGCTCCTTAATGATGTACTTGTGGCAAATGACTGCCTCCACGTTTCACTTCCCGTCACGTCCTGTGCTCCTGTGAGCTCAGCGTATTGCACTGGGTGTTTCGGATGAACTGGGATTAGAATGTTCATGATTTCAACACGATGCTTCAAAGTGTTATAGACCTGTGTATATGGGAGATGTATATTTGTAAACACATACATAGTTTTCTTCCATCCATTAGAAGACTTCAGGACTTGTTAAGACAAGCAAACCTTGTCCAGGGACTAAGTACTTGATCAAACCCAACCTTTTCTCTACCTAGCTCCAAAACTTTAGACTGGTCAGGACGTTCAGATTGTCACAAGTGAAAGACTGCTGATTACTAGCTGTGTGACCTGGAGCAGGATACTACACCTCTCTGGGCATCAAATTACTCACGTAGAAAAGGGAATAAGCGTGCAGCCTGTATCACAGAGTCACTTAGAGGGTTCAGTGAGCCAGTGCCAGCCTCGTCTTTCTGTGTGTGGGTAGTGTTCTCCGGGATGGCCTCTGGTGTCTCCTTTTCTGTCTCATGGTCTCTGATATGCTATGGATCTAAATGTTCTCACCAGGCTATAGGCTCTCTGGGAGAAGTGACCTCAGCCTAGAACCTGTCTTTTTTTTTTTTTTTTTTTTTTTTTTGAGCCAGAGTCTCACTCTGTCACCCAGGCTGGAGTGCAGTGGCATGATCCCGACTCACTGCAACCTCCGCCTCCTGGGTTCAAGCGATTCTCCTGTCTCATCCTCCAGAGTAGCTGGGATTACAGGCACCCACCACCACACCCAGCCTCCCAAAGTGCTGGGATTATAGGCGTGAACCACTGCACCTACCACAGGGATCCAGCCTAGAGCTGAGGATGGACCCAGGTCACGTTAGGTGCCTGGGAGGTAATCGGCCGGTGGTTACCTGGGAGGCATGGGCACCACCTCAGCTCCAGCCTGGGTCTCATGTGGTCTCAAGGCTCCTCTGCCCCGCAGCATCCATGTATAGATGCCCCTGCAACTCCCAAGTCTCTCCAGGCCCCAGCCAGGGAATGGGGTACAGGTGCCAGGGCCTCTCCTGGGTCATCTGACTTCAGCCCAGTTAGTCCTTTCCTTCTCTTTCCAGAAGTGAAGAGCCCACGCCTTTAAAAAATGGTTATTGTGTACTTGCAGCCATGCTAAGGAAGCCAGGAGGCCCTGCACTGATGGCTTTTCAAGATGGCATTTTGTGGCGAGGGCATACCGTTTGGAAGTTCAAGTTCGTAATGAGTGGCTCGTATTGTCACAGAGCAAGGAGCATTAGTGATCGGCTCTCCAGCTTTGCTCCTGTGTACTGACACTGCGGGAAGCCTATACCTCCCCTCCCTGTTCAAACCATTAAGGCAGCTTTCAGAGAGGAAAACATCTTGGCTTCCAAAATGCATTAAGAATTTGCATCTGCAGGAGCTAGGATTCCACGTTGCCAGCCTGAGTGTCTCTCTCTGGCCCAGGGAGCTGGTCTTGGAGGAGGGCTGGCGGGATTTGCATTAGCAAGAGCTGCTCTGAGTCTCCCCTGGTTTTCCTTTCCACAGCCAACGATGGGGATTACTGGCGCCTCCTGAACCCTGGAGAGTATGCGGTCACAGCAAAGGCCGAAGGCTTCACTGCATCCACCAAGAACTGTATGGTTGGCTATGACATGGGGGCCACACGGTGTGACTTCACACTTAGCAAAACCAACATGGCCAGGATCCGAGAGATCATGGAGAAGTTTGGGAAGCAGCCCGTCAGCCTGCCAGCCAGGCGGCTGAAGCTGCGGGGGCGGAAGAGACGACAGCGTGGGTGACCCTCCTGGGCCCTGGAGACCCGTCTGGGACCCACGCAAATTAAACCAACTTGGTAGTAGCTCCATAGTGGACTCGCTCACTGTTGTTCCCTCTGTAATTCAAGAAGTGCCTGGAAGAGAGTGTGCATTGTGAGGCAGGTCCCAAAAGGGAAGGCTGGAGGCTGAGGCTGTTTTCTTTTCTTTGTTCCCATTTATCCAAATAACTTGGACAGAGCAGCAAAGAAAAGCTGATGGGAGTGAGAGAACTCAGCAAGCCAACCTGGGAGTCAGAGAAAGAGAAAGAGGGGAGCCTGTCCGTTCAGAGCCTCCTGGCTGCCTGGAAAAGGATTCTGGTATTTCCCCTGTTTGCGTGACAGCAAAGGTTCCACATGCATTTGCAATTTGCGCAGCTAAAATTGCAGCATTTCCCCATCTGGGCTGTCCCAAATGTTACCATTTGAGATGCTCCCAGGCATCCTTCGAGAATCCACCCTCTCTGGCCCTGGGACATTGCAAGCTGCTACAGATAAATTCTGTGTTCTGTTGACAATAGTGTCATTGCCAAGTGCACATCAGTGAGCCTCTTGAATCCATTTAGTCTCCTTTTTCAACAAAGAAGTGTGTTCAGAAAAGGAGAGAGAGGCTGAGATCACTCAGGAGTTTTGTTGGGCGGTAAGCATGGAGCTTCTTGCACAAATTCTGGGTCCATAAAGAACCCCCAAACTCCCTGCAGATCCAGTAGCACTGGAGTCTCCCCAAGTAGGGAAAACCAGAGGTGCCAGCCTTCCTGAGGGGCCAGATAATTTAGCCTGGATCTCCTCTTTTACCTGCTAGGACTGGAAAGAGCCAGAAGGGGGGTGGCCTGAAGCCCTCTCTCTGCTTGGGGTATTGCCCTGTGTGGAACTGCGTGCTCATGGGCTGGCTTCATGTCAGTCTGGGAGTTATTTTTGATATGTGGAATGCCAGATCTTCCAAATTAGGCTAAATGTAATGAAAACCTCTTAGGATTATCTGTGGAGCATCAGTTTGGGAAGAATTATTGAATTATCTTGCAAGGAAAAAGTGTGTCTCCGTTTTTGTTAATGTTGCTGCCTCATTGACCTGGGAAAAATGAAAAAAAATAATAATAATAAAGAAAGCAAATGGTAAGACCCTTCTGGTGTGTTTGGCTTTTCTGGGTAGGCTTGCGGCCACCCCACTACCTCTTTCTGAGGTTGGTCAGCCTAGACAAGGTGCCTGCCTGGGGGTGGCCATCCTGCACCCCGACTAAGCTCAGCACTGATGCTGACAACACTATGTTCCCTGCCTCCTTCCTAGGAGAGACACATGTTTGGGACCCACTATTCGCTCTTGGAGATGCCCATGAGCATCTTTAGAGAAAAGATTCTCATGTAGCTTTCGCACAGTCTATACTCAGGGTCAGCTAACTTTTCTTTAAAAGGGTCAGTAAATATCGTAGGTTTTGCAAGCCACACAGTCTCTGTCATAACCACTTAGCTCTGCTATTGTAGCACAAAAGTAGACATACACAGTACAGAAATGAATGGGCCAGCACTTTGGGAGGCCGAGGTGGGCAGACTGCCTGAGGTCAGGAGTTCAAGACCAGCCTGGATAACATGATAAAACCCTGTCTCTACTAAATATATAAAAATTAGCTGGGTGTGGTGGCATGTGCCTGTAGTCCCAGCTACTCAGGTGGCTGAGGCAGGAGAATCATTTCAACCGGGAGGCATAGGTTGCAGTGAGCCAAGATCACATCATTGCACTCCAGCCTGGATGACAGAGAAAGACTCTGTCTCAAAAAAAAAAAAAAAAAAAAAAAAAAAAAAAAAAAGAAATGAATGGGCATGGCTGCATTCCAGTACATCTTTATTTACAAAAACAGGTGGCAGCTGGATTTGGCCTGCAAGCTAGGGCATAGTCACACAGTCAGCTCCTGCTAGAAGCTGTTGTTGGCTGATAGAACTTTCTGTAATGATGGAAAGGTCCTATTGTGTGCTGTCGAATGCCACAGCACTGACCATGTGTGGCTACTGAGTACTTTAAAGGTGATCAGTGAAACTTAAAAACTGGGTTTCTCATATTACAGAATTTTAGTTTTAATTTGACTTTTAATAGCCACTTGTGGCTAAAGGCCACATATTGGACCACACAGCTCTCAACTAAGCCCATGGTAGGAAAATCTGACCCTCGCAGCAGTAGATATGGAGGTGGTGCTATAAAGCATTTAAAACTATAAACCACCTTTGCATTTCAGAAGGTGGAGCTGCAGGGGTGAAAGTGACCCTTCTGGGCCCTTGAGACATGTCCTGGACCCACAATTTAAACCCGAGCAATCCCACATTTGCTTGGAAGATTGTGGATTTGTCCAGTCCCTGCCATGCTGACCCAGAAGCCAGGTCCTGGCCCTTGATGCCGAGATGGCTCGTTCTCATTTCCAGTAGTCAGCTCTGGAACTTGCGGCGCTACTGCACACAGCCTACTGCGTCCATGCCATTCTAGGCCCTCCCTGCAGCCTTGTCACCAAACTGAGCCCATTTGCAGGCACCTTGGGATCGCAGGCAGGGGCTCTGCATTCAGGGCTGGCCAGGACTCTTTGGTGTGTGATGTGAGGTCAGCCATCCTCTCTAATCTCTCATCTAGTCCTGCAAAGTAAAGCCATCAGGCTTCATAGACTCTAAAGGGCAGGCTGGCTGTGGCATCCGATGATTTCTGGCAGAGAGCCGACATCCTGGCTTCCTAAAGCTCTGTTCTGTTGGAGTCACTTCTCTCCTCGGCCCCTCCATGACACAGCGGCTCCTCACTGGACCTTCAAGCCCACACCACCTTCCTTGACCCGGAGCCCGGAACCTCTCTCCAACTTGCCTTCTCTCCTGCTTTTCAGCCGGAATTACCCTCCTAGATCTTTCCCTAGGTTCAACTTGGGCCTCTGCACACAGCTAAAAAACCCTCCTGCTTCTCTCCAGTCCTGTCTCAAATGCCACCTCCTCCAGGAAGCCTTTCCCCTCTCAGGACCATGGTGATTTCTCACTCCTTTGGACAAATCTGCAGAGCCCTCAGGGCCTCTCAGAGGAGTTATGTTACTTTAGGTTCTCTCCGCTGTTGGTCCGGAAGTTCCCAAGGGCAGGACCTTCGTCCTCCTTGGTTCCCACTCCTGCAGGGCCACGCCCCACTGCAGCAGGTGCACCATGAACACGTGTGAAGCCGAGCCAGCCTCTGCCACGTTGTGCTCTGTTTGTAGATTCCCTTAACAAGTTCACAAAATGTGACTTGATAAATTGAAAATCTATACTTTGAATTTATTTGGTGTCTTTTTACCTCTTCAAGAGTCTTCATTTTAATAAGTGAAATCTGGTACTTGACTGAGTAGAAACATGTCCAGAGATTGACAGGCTGTTTGTTTGAGATGTTTTTCTGCAGGATAAAATCAACCAACGTGGTCTGTCTCTTTCTGGCAGAGTCCAGTGCCTGTCTACTGTCTTCATCCTCCCACGCGGGTCCCAGGAGGGCCGCAGCAGCAGCACCCTCTTTCATGTCTGTTTTATGCTGAGGGGCACCTAAGGAGCTGTGCAGAGCAGGAGCTCAAATCAGCATTTGTCAGCAATCACTTTCTATGAGTTTTGGAGCCCGGTCTTTACCAGGAAACTCCAGGCATTATTCAGTGTACACAACGGCATTACAACACCTTGAAACTGTCATGTGGTGTTAGCACACAATCATACCAGGAAAGAGTCCCAGGTTTGCAGGTTTAGAATCGGCTTTAGAGGCTGCCACCCTGCCTGAAGAAGCCCACATGTCCATGCCACTTTATGCTGAGTCCCTGATCCCAGGGAGTGGTCACAGTGTGGAGGGAGCTGCTGCTTACGGAGCCACAGCCCAGCAGGACTGGCCAGAAGGAGGCAGAGCCTGGTTCACAGCAGCCCAAATCTGCCTCTACTACTGAGCTCTGTGTACTAGGGTGACCTGTCCTGAGACCATGGGGGCTCTTCCTCCTGTGTGTTGATGCCTCTGACACACAAACACATCCCCAACTTCCCAGCCAATGCACAGGAAATCAAGGGGAAATCAGAAAATAAGTTCATGGCCCGCCGCGGTGGCTCACGCCTGCAATCCCAGCACTTTGGGCGGCCGAGGCAGGTGGATCACGAGGTCAGGAGATGGAGACTAGCCTGGCCAACATGGTGAAAACCCGTCTCTACTAAAAATACAAAAATTAGCCGGGCGTGGTGGTGCATGCTTGTAATCCCAGCTACTCAGCAGGCTGAGGCAGGAGAATCATTTGAATCCGGGAGGCGGAGGTTGCAGTGAGCCGAGATCAAGCCATTGCACTCCAGCCTGGGCAATAGAGTTAGACTCCATCTCAAAAAAAAAAAAGTTCAGAGAGCGGAAACACATGCGGCAGAGCCTTCCAGTATCTTCTGGTGTATACAGAGGGCAATGGCAGGTCTTTAGAGCTGAGGGGCAGCCATGAAGTCAACGAGCCTGGGGATGGCACCTAGGCTTCCTCTTGCAGGCCAACTCTGGTTTATTGGTAGTCCTTGCTTGGAGCTCTGTGTTAAGAAGAATTCTGAGGCAGAGAGCTGGCTTAATGAAAAGATGCTCCAACTGATTACCTATGTCTGCTCTGGGTATGGCAAAGGTGAGGGCAAGGATGCCTGCTGTCTCCATCCCTGAGCTAGTCTAGTCCCCCTGCGGGTAGAGACAGGAAAAATGAGGCCCAGGGAGGGGCATGAAGTGTCCAAAGTCCTGTTTCAGTTCATGCAGAGGCTGAACTCTCAGGACAGTGCTCTTTCCACTGCTTGCCTGGGAACCTGTAATTAGGTCTGGGCGCAGGCCAGGGGGCTGAGCCTCTTGACCTCCAGGGCCAACTTTCCCAGGAGCAGCTCACACCCTGGGCAGTGACTGAACATTGGGAACCATGGGTGCATTTCAGCAACCAGAGGACAAAGGATGGAGCCCTTGTTTGATGAAGGTGGCTGGGGAATCTGCTAAGGAGGAGCCAGTTGAATATGTAGCGGAGCCGGGGGAAGCTCATCGGGCCGATTCTGAATGTCCTTTGCCATCATAGCTTCCTGTCGGCTTGAGATGACCTAAGAGCCGATGATGTCCTGATTTCCCAAAAGCTGACGGTTTTGATTTGCAGTTGGTAACGCCTGATTTGATTTGCAGTTGGTAAGGCCCAGTTTGATTTGCGGTTGGTAACGCCCATCCTTATGTGCAGCTTCCACATCCTTTGTAGCCTGGTTGGTGTGCTGGGCACTGCGGGGATCAGCACTACCCTGGCATTTCTTGTTATCTAATCTGTCTCGAGGGCCAGCCTGACAGAGGAAGAGGACAGTAGTTCTACCCAGTGCTCACAGGTGCTGTGGGTAGTGGACTCTGTCCCCGCCTCACACATGTGTCAACATCTGCAGGGAAGGCCACTTTCTGGAGCCCTCGCCCAGCGTCTCTGAGCAAGGCTGAGTGGTGAGTATCCACTGAAATGTCAGTCCATCATTGTGAGTCAGCACCCACCGGCCTCCCTTGCCTCCAAGGCCTTCAGGATAGCAGTCAGTAAAGCAAAGTGTCGGAGAGCATTGCTGTTCTCTTCAAATTATCTCTAAACAAACATTTTAAAAATTCTGTTTTGAAATGCAAATCAAAACCACAATGAGATACCACCTTACACCAGGCAGAATGCCTATTGTTAAAAAGTCAAAAAATAACTAGGAGATATGCCACTCTCACCATAGCCCACTTTTGTTTCAGATCATTTTGATGCTGAAAGTCTAAGCATTTCAAATATATCACATTGAATTGAATCCCCATGACAATCCTAAGAGGCAGAGATTCCTTCACACATTTTAGAGATGTGGAAACAAGTCCCGGGGATATGAGGTGACTTGTTTAAAGTCACTCAGTTGGCAAGAGGTGGCACTGGGACCAAACTAAAGCTCGTTCACCCCAAAGCTCCATCTTTTCCTTCTGTATCCCATCCCCAGGGAAGTATAGTGACATGGGTTAGGTCCCTGCACAACCTAGGGTAAATTATGTACTTTATGAATCTCAGTCTATTCATCTATAAAATGGGCATAGTAAGCCAGGCACAGTGGCTCATGCCTGTAATCCCAGCACTTTGGGAGGCTGAGGTGGGCGGATCATGAGGTCAGGAGATTG